GGACCACAGAGGAAGGGGGAGGGAAAACTGAAGGGGAAGGAGTCAGAGAGGGAGGAGAACCATGAAAGACTCTGGACTCCAGGAAACAACAGAGGGTTTCAGAAGGGAGGGGCTGGGGGCTGGGGTAGTCGGGTGATGGACACTGGGGAGGGCACATGATGTAATGAGCACTGGGTGTTGTCTGCAACTGATGAATCACTGACCTCTACCCCTGAAACTAATAATACACTATATGTTAATTTAATTTAATTTAAATTTAAAAAACTAAGGAAATAAAATTAACTGAAGCTAGAAAAAAAAAAAAAAAAAGAATCCTTGAGTCCTGCGGAGTCAGCCAGACCGACCTACGTGGACACTCTGACTGTAGGGGTGGTAGGAAGGGCCAAATCCCTCCACCCCCAGGGGCATTTGTGTGCAGGGCTGACTGTCAGCTCTGGGTTGGAAACACCTGTTTCAACAAAAGGATGGCGCTACGCAGTTAGCCCCTTCCCCGTAAAGGGGGATTTGGAACCTCCAGTTCCAGACTCGCAGAGGGAGGCGTGCTTGAGAATCAACGGGAGCCCACAGTGCAGGCGAGGCTGAGTGAGGGTCAGCGGTTGCTGGCCGGCACAGAGGACTCCGGAGGCCGTGTGGCTGCCAGAGTGCAGGGCGGGGGTGGGGGGTGGGGGTGGGGGACTCCTAAGGTGTCTGCCCAGTTCTCCGTGTCTCCTGAGTCTCCCATCTTGGGACTCTGCTCCCCCCGACCTTGCTTTTCATAATTCCAGAGATACCTTAAGGCTCAGTATTAGATGTTCTGTTCTTACTTCTTTGACACTTTCCTGGCAAGCCTCCTTCCTGGGCCCTCTGGCCCGGGCTGCCCTGCAGGCTGACTCTCCTGGGCTAGACCCTTCTTCCTCTTGCACCGCTGGATGCCCCCTTCCCCTCCCAGACCTACGCAGTGACAGTTAACTTGCCTTAGCCAGAAATCTCTTGTCCTGAGGAATTACAATGCCTGCTTTAAAGCTGTCCTTTTTATTTTTAGTTAGGTTTTTAATTTGATTTATTTACTTTTAAAGTAGGCTCCATGTCCAGCATGGAGCCCAATGCCGAGCCCAACGTGGGGCTCGACCTCAGGACCCTGAGATCATGACCTGAGCGGAGATCCAGAGTTGGACGCGCCATGGACTGAGCCACCCAGGTACCCCAAGTTCTTTATTTTAATTCCACTGTAGTTAGCAGTGTCCTACTAGTTTCAGGTGTATGGTACAGCGATTCAGCAATCCTATACATCACCAGTGCTCATCCTGGTAAGTGTCTTCTCTAATCCCCACCGCCTATTTCAACCATCCCCCCGCCCTCCGTGGAGCCATCCTTTTTAAAAAAGAAATACCGCAGGGACCCTGGCTCCTGGCAGCGTTGTCCCGTCCAGAGAAGTGCATGGAGCTGCGTCCTGTGTTGGGGGACAGCGCCCCCTGCGGCCCATGGAGAGACAGGGCCACGCACAGCTGAAGGACCCCCTCCTTTGCTTGTTCCAGGCTGGGGGGCAGGTAATCCAGGTAAGAATAATTCAGAAGGTACCTTGAATTTGAGGTGGTGATGATGCATCCAAGAATCCGTATGGAGACCAGGAGCAGAGGGAAGGATGTGGATGGCTCTGGGGTTCAGGGGGGCCACAGGCCCACGTAAGCTCCACCACCACGGAGCAGAGTGGACGGCTGGATGTGGCCTCCCCTGGAGGGCTGCCCTCTCTGTGGGCTGCACATGTGCAGTGGGCAGGCTGCCCAGCTGTCCGTGGGGGCCCTGAAGGGACGAAGAGTGCGTGCCGGGAAGGCCTCAGGCAGGAAACCGGCTGAGCGGGGCTCAAGCTGATGTGAGTAGTTCAGGGTGGCCGCAGGGAGGATGCAGGGAAGCCTCCGACTGAGGCAGCAACAGGGGACCAAGCAGAGGGAAAAGATGCAAATCTGACTCCTGGCTTCAATATTTTACAGGAGCTAGAATCGTTCAAAAACGTACTGAGCACCTACTCTGTGCAGGAGCTATGGCACGTAGGCCTGAGACGGGGTCGTAACAGCACCCTCCAATAACTGTGCACCTCCATTCCCAGCTGGGACGCCTGACCCACTGTCCGGGATGCAGGCTGAGGGGCCCCAGACAGGGAGCTCTAAACCTCTGGAATTAGGACCATGATTCAGGCTTTTTTTTTTTTTTTAAGATTTTATTTATTTATTTGAAAGAGAGAGAGCACGCATGAGCAGGGGGAGCAGCAGAGGGAGAGGGAGAAGCAGACTTTCCACTGAGCAGGGAGCCCGATGCGGGCTCGATCCCAGGACCCCGGGACCACGACCTGAGCGGAAGGCAGACGCTTAACGACTGAGCCACCAGGCGCCTTGACGCCCAGACGTTTTGCTGAGTCTAGAATTCCTTTCATTCTAGCGACCGATTATCCCTCTTCTAAATCATGTGAAAACTTAACTAGTGGTTTAAACTTTGTTCCAAGTTAAAATGTGCAGGTGGGGTCCCTGGGGAAAGTCCCCGCCCTGTCCTCTAGTCATCCAGACATCTGATTTCAGTGTCATTGTAATGGGATTTTCGTCATGTGAGTGAGATTGAGCATCTTCTTATGAGTTAGAGATATTTTGTAGTTTTTCTATGAAGTGTCTGTTTACTCTGCCCAATTTTCTACCTAAAGTTAGTATTACTTTTGTATTTGTAAGCACTCTCGCTATGTCGGCAAATCGGCCCTTTGAATTTGATGATAGCTGTAAACATGTTTGTTTTTATGATTTCATTTGGTCATTCGTCTCTTGACATTGCGTTTATGGTTTTTTTCCGTGGAGAGATTTAAGAAACTGTTCATTACTGAAGCATAGCGGACCAGAGTGTTACTGCGTTTCAGGCGTACAACAGGGAGGACGGACAGTCACGCGCAGTCCACGCTGCTCATCACCACGAGTGCAGTCACCGTGTGCCCCCGCGCAATATCGTCACAGGGTCCTGACAGAACTCCCTCCGCGCAGATCTTTCTAGATGGGTAGACTCTGTCTTTCGGTGCACGATGTCTACGCTGAAACGTTCTTGAGATAGCGTGAGCTCAGACATGGACCCCTGCCTTGCAGTTGTTCGGTTAGCTGGTAGGAAAATCAAGAGAGCAGTGAGTGACTGTAGACACTACCAGATGGTCTAAGGTGCTGTTTCTTCCCGTCTGTCCAGAATCCAGCTGTTGGTCCCCCGGCCACTTATCAAGCCTGTGCTGAGCTCTAAGACACGACATTTGTGGTGAGGGAGCCTGTGCTCAGCAGGACACCCATCGGGGCCGGGGCCCCGGCTCTCCGTTCGCCCCGTGTGGCCGTGGGCAGGTTCCCCATCTCACATCATGAAATAGGACGGAAATGTGGAAGGATCAAGGATTAAAGGCTGAAGAACAGACGCGGTCAGGTGGAGCTTGGGGCCCGTCCTGGATTGCTGATTTCAGGAGGTGGAATCAGAGGGAGGTCGCTGGACTGAGCAAGTCAAGGAGCTGCAGGGGCTCCATGCTGGATGTTCAGGGGGCGGGTGGGGAGAAGCTGGGGGCCTCCTGCGCACAGCCCCATGCGTGCGTGCGCATTTCGAGAGGCAGCTCTGTGGAGGCCGGCTTGGAAGAGGAGAGTGGGCACGAGCTCCGGCTCCGGGGAAGCTACGCAACGAGGTGGTGCGTGCAGCGAGGAGGATGCCCACGTGCGGAGCTTCCCGGGAGCTGCCTCCTCGAGCGGAAGCCAAGGACCTGGGCAGCAGGCCGGGGCCAGTGGGGCCGAGGGAGGGGCTACGGAGTCAGGCTCTCCCAAGAACCTCGGACGTTTACAGCATCCATGGCAGCTGTTCTGTTTTTTAAAGATTTCATTTTTAAGTCATTTCTATGCCCCACGAGGGGCTTGGACTCAGGGCCAAGAGTCGCAGGCTCTAGCGACGGAGCCAGCCCGGCGCCCACCTGTCCGCCTCTATCGGCGGTACCCCCGGGCTGCTGGTGTCAGGGTGGGGGTCAGCCCCAAGACAGTGGGCTGGGCCGTCCCGGGGTCGTGCGTAGATGCGGGGCTCAGGACCTCGGGCTGCACAGGCTGGGGTTCTGGGGAGTGTTCGCGCTGACAGCTGGCTCTTGCTCATGTCATATTCACACTGAACGCACTGAGACCTTCGTCCTCCCCGTGTGCAAACAAGCCACACCTTCTCCAGCCAACGTCCACCTCACCCGTCTGCTACCCTAGGCCCGTCACCCAGCCCTGCGAGCTTCACCTTCCTGGCAATCCAGTGTTTCCAGGGAGGGGTGCTCCTCACCTCTCCCCCAGTGTTCCCGACACACGCACATTGTCCAAAGGGCACAGGGGAAAGAGAGCCATTCACCTGCTGGCTCTCTGTCCAGACAGCCCGGAAGACGTCCTGGAGTGGAGCACAAGGGAGCTTCTCGGGAGGAGGACCATGTGAGAGGTTTGGGGATGCGGGAGTGAGGATGTTTAAGACAAGTGCGGCCATCTTGCCCCTCTTTGGAGACGCTCTGAAAGGAAGGGGAAAGGCCTTCAGACTTCGCACAGGTCCCTGGTCTGCTCCACATGCCCTGTTCTCTTTCTCTCTCACCGTGGAATCCATGTAACCCCGGAAAGGATGTTGGTTGAGAGAGAGAGACACAGATGCAACGGCTGGACTCGGTGGCAGTAGCCGAATTCTTGGACTGTGGCCACGAGCCTCCTGCTGTCCCGTGTGGGAGAGGACACGCCAAGCCCCCGCCGCATTGTCTCCACCTCAGGCCCGTCAGCGAAGACGACCAGCTTCAAAGTTCATGACGCTCTGGCCTCGTCACTCTGAGCTGTGCAAGGACAGAGAGCTCTGGAGAGGAAAACAGAGTTGGCTTCTGAATCGCCGGCTTGCTCCCGACGTGTGACAAATAAGAAGAGATTTTCGGCGGCTGGAGGGAGCGCGTCAAGGCTGAGCAGAGAGCTTTGCCACGGGTGCAGACTCGGGGCGTGTGTGGTCGGGCTGTGGTTCCAGCCACAGAGAGCGGGCCGTTGCCTGACGTCGGGGCCGAGCCGAGCTCTCTCCGCTGCCCCGGGGGCTGCCCCCCAGCTGGGCCTTCTTGTCTGGCCTGTGTCGGTCCAGGCCCTCCAAAACCCCGCAGGAGAAGGAGGCCCTGGGGCCGGGAGGCCAGCAGAGGCCATGGTTCCTCCGCAGGAGGACGGCCGGGAAGAGGGCGTCTGCGCCATCTGCCAGGAGCTCCTGAAGGAGGCTGTGAGCACCGAGTGTGGACACCGCTTCTGTCGAGGGTGCCTGGCTCGGCACGTGGCGAAGGCCTCGGCCTCCGGAGTCCTCTGCTGTCCCTTGTGCCGGAAGCCCTGTTCCGAGGGGGTGCTGGGGCCGGGCTACCTCTGCTCCAGCCACCAGAAGAAGGTGTGCTCTTTCTGTGAGGAGAGCAGACTTCTTGTGTGCAGGGAGTGCCTGGCGTCGCCTGAGCACCAGGGGCACAGTGAGCTGGCCGTTGAGGACGCGGTCAACCACTACAAGGTAAGGCCCGGCCACCACCTGCCCCAGAGCCCCCTCCTACCCTCTGCCCACACAGGCTCCAGAACTGACAGTGTCCCGGTTCTTCGGCTTCATCCTACTTTGGACCCTTGTCCTGGCTTTTCCACCATACACATGTCCATGCACTGGTAGGAGGCTGAGCGGTGCTGTCTCTGTGGTGATGCGTTCCCAGGAAGCGTGCTTTGCCCTCAGTTTGCTCATCTGTAGGATGGACTTGAGCCTGAGAATGCACAGATCTTTCAGGACTAGACTACATGGTTCCCCTGCTTGATAGAACTAGAAATTTGGTGGGAGATGTAATCAGCTTTTGCATATGCTGATAATTATCCTGCATATATATATATATATATATATATTTCATGAGACTTTTGTAACTATGGTTTTTAAAATTTAAACTCCAGTGTAGTTAACATACGGTGTAATGTTAGTTTCAGGTGATTCATCACCTCCATCCGTGACCCCATGCTCATCCCCATCACCTGTTTCCCCCACCCCCACTCACCTCCCCTCGGGTGACCATCAGGGTTTTCTCCAGAGTTCAGAGTCTGTTTTATGGTTTCCTCTCTCTCTCTTTCCTTTGCTCATTTGTTTTGTTTCTTAAATACCACACAGGAGTGAAATCATATGGTATTTGTCTGTCCTGAAAATATATTGAAGCCTGGAAATTAGTACATGATTCTCTCTTTTACCTCTTCCTTTGTCTCCCTCCATTCCTTCCTTCCTTCCTTCCTTCCTTCCTTCCTTCCTTCCTTCCTTCCTTCCTTCCTTCCTTCCTTCCTTCCTATAGTGGTTATTTTTATCCTATTTAATTTTTTATCATAAAAGTTACATGCTTTTGGTAATACATTCAGTCAACACTGTAAGGTATGAAGTCAAAATAAAAATCTTCCTGCTTCCCGAAGGTAACCATTGTTAGGTTTTTGTGTATCATCCTTCCAGAGAACTGTGCATGTGAATGCACTCTTCAACACTCCCCCACCACAGATTCTCCATCTTTTTTGTAGCTCATTTTTGTCGTCTATAAGTACATCTTGGACATTTTCCCATTTTCCTATCAGTGTGTATAGATAAATTTTTATGAAGTCTTTTTCAACCACCACACGGTACGCAATTCTATGAGTGCACCATGAACTGGCAGACATTGAGTTATTTCAAGGTTATTGTTTTGTTTTGAGATCGCATAGAATGTTTTGGTGAACATCCTTCAACACGTGTTTTAGAGGACTCAGCATATCCAAGATAACATTTTGGTGATAGTGTGAGTTAACTTCCAAGTGAGGATGGTTTTTCCCGTCGCAGTTTATTGAATAATCCAGAGTTGCCCCACTGATTTGGATCCCAGCTTCATAATCTGCTGCAAATGCACACACAGTTGCATATTTTCCTGACTCCCTCTTCTGTTCTGTCCTTTGTCTATTCCTGCCTGTGTGCCCAACCATTGGAAATACGTACCTTTGCAATGTGTATTAATGTCAGGTAAGTCTTAGAACCCTCATGATACTTTAATATGTTAGATTTTTTTGTGGATATTCATTATGTTTATTTTGCCACTTGGCTTTATCATTATTGTTACGAACCTGCCCACCCTCCAACCCCAACCCAGTTAGTATTTGATTGGGTGGAAAACTGACATATTTTCACCAGGGTGTCTTTCTGTCCAGTAATGAAAGATGAATATTCAGAATCTTCCTTTAGATACTTGACTTTTTGAGAATGTGTTCTGATATAGGAGGAGAAGGGGGAGTCCAGGTTGGAGGGGAGGATGGGAAGTGGTGACATAATTTAGAAAGCCAGGGAGGCCAGTTTCCTTCAGTGCAGGGCACAGGGAGAGGTCTCCCACCACTCATGAGCCTGGCGCAATCACTCAGTGATTTATTCAGCTCTGTGTTCTGTGTAGGATGTTGTATGGTGTTGCAGGAAGCAGAGATGATTCAGAATCCTTGTCCTTGGGTTTGCCTTTAAATTATGACAGTAAGCCTGAAATAAATAACAATATTTGTTCACTTGTGAAAGACTTAAAGAAATTCCTGGAGTGTGTCAGAAATGACCATATATGCTGGGAATACGATGGACAAGACGGATGCCATCCCTGCTGTGAGGGTTCTGCAGCTGAGGGAGGGAGACAGACAAGAAATCAAGCAAACTCTGAGTTTTTTTATGAGCTAGGAGGAAAATAAACAAGGGTCTGACACGGGAGTAATGGTGGCCCACATCCATGGGGCCGGTGAGGGCCTCGTGGAGCAGGTGACGCCCAGCGGGGACCTAGAGAGGAAGAGTCTGCAGGACCAGGTCCTGAGAAAGGCCATCACTTAGATGTGAGGTCGAGGGTGACTTGGGAGGAGCCACCCACCAGGGGCAGGCCCGGAGAAACACCATGGGTGCAGCGTTCCAGATGCCGGAGATGGGGCACGTGGTGTGTCCGGGGGTGCTGAGCACAGGGCCAGGGGCTGCGGCAGGGGCTCGGGGAGGGGCAGGAGAGGGGTCGGCGCTGGGGGTTCATTCCGGGTGGTGGCGCGAGTGTTCAGTGCACTGGGGAAGGTGTCAGCAGACAGCAAGCAGGAGGTGTGGCTTGGGAAAGAGAACCCAGGGGTCCCTGATGCTGGGTGATGTTGAACAGTTTTTCATGTGTCTGTTGGCCATTTGTATGTCTTCTTTGGAGAAATGTCTGTTCATGTCTTCTGCCCATTTCTTGACTGGATTCTTTGTTTTTGGGTGTTGAGTTTGAGAAGTTCTTTATAGATCTTGGATATCAGCCCTTTGTCTGTAGTGTCATTTGCAAATATCTTCTCCCATCCTGTGGGTTCCCTCTTGGTTTTGTTGACTGTTTCCTTTGCTGTGCAGAAGATTTTTATCTTGATGAAGTCCCAAAAGTTCATTTTTGCTTTTGTTTCCCTTGCCTTGGAGACGTGTCTAGCAAGAAGTTGCCTGCAGCTAAGGTCACAGAGGTTGCTGCCTGTGTTCTCCTCTAGGATTTTTTTAAAAGATTTTATTTATTTATTTGAGATAGAGATTAGGAGAACGAGTGGGAGGAGGGGCAGAGGGAGAAGCAGACTCCCTGAAGCACAGGGAGCCCGATGTGGGACTTGATCCCAGGACCCTGGGATCGTGACCTGAGCCGAAGGCAGACGTTTAACCGACTGAGCCACCCAGGCGCCCTCTCCTCAGGATTTTGATGGATTCCTGCCTCACATTTAGGTCTTTTACCCAGTTTGAATTTATTTTTTGTATATGGTGTAAGAAAGTGGTCCAGTTTCATTCTTCTGCATGTGGCTGTCCAATTTTCCCAACACCATTTGTTGAAGAGACTGTCTTTGTTCCATTGAACATTCTTTCCTGCTTTGTCAAAGATGAGTTGACCCTAGAGTTGAGGGTCCATTTCTGGGCTCTCTGTTCTGTTCCATTGATCTATGTGTCTGTTTTTGTGCCAGTACCATGCTGTCTTGATGATGACAGCTTTGTAATAGAGCTTGAAGTCCGGAATTGTGATGCCGCCAGCTTTGCTTTTCTTTTTCAACATTCCTCTGGCTATGCGGGGTCTTTTCTGGTTCCATACAAATTTTAGGATTATTTGTTCCATTTCTTTGAAAAAAGTGGATGGTATTTTGATGGGGATTGCATTGAATGTGTAGATTGCTTTGGGTAGTATAGACATTTTAACAAGGTTTATTATGATATGGTGTCCTTCTTCATCTCTTATTACAGTCTTTGGTTTAAAATCTAGTTTGTCTGATATGAGGGTTGCTACTCCAGCTTTGTTTTGATGTCCCATTAGCATGGTAAATGGTTTTCCACCCCCTCACTTTCAATCTGGAGGTGTCTTTGGGTCAAAAGTGAGTCTCTTGTAGACAACAAATTGATGGGTCTTATTTTTTGTCAATCTCCTACCCTATATCTTTTGATTGGAGCATTTAGTCCATTTACGCTGAGTGACTATTGCAAGATATGAATTTAGTGCCATTGTATTGCCTGTAAGGTGACTGTTACTGTATATTGTCTCTGTTCCTTTCTGGTCTGTGTTACTTTTAGGCTCTTTCTTTGCTTAGAGGACCCCTTTCAATATTTCTTGTAGGGCTGGTTTGGTGTTTGCAAATTCTTTTAGGTTTTGTTTGTCCTGGAAGCTTTTTATCTCTCCTTCTATTTTCAATGACAGCTTAGCTGGATATAGTATTCTTGGCTGCATATTTTTCTCGTTTAGTGCTCTGAATATATCATGCCAGTCCTTTCTGGCCTGCAGCTCTCTGTGGTCAGGTCAGCTGCCAGCCTAATGTGTCTACCCTTGTTGGTTAAGGACCTCTTGTCCCAAGCTGCTTTTAGGATCTTCTCTTTATCTCTGAAATTCACAAGTTTCACTATACTATGTCATGGTGTTGACCTATTTTTGTTGATTTTGAGGGGAGTTCTCTGTACCTCTTGGACTTGAATGCCTGTTTCCTTCCCCAGATTAGGGAAGTTCTCAGCTATAATTTGTTCAAATAAACGTTCTTCCCCATTTTCCTGCTCTTCTTCTTCTAGGACTCCTATAATAGGGATATTATTTTGCTTTATGGAATCACTTAGTTCCCTAAGTCTACCTTTGTGATCTAATAGTTTTCTTTCCCTCTTCATTGCAGCTTCATTATTTCTCATCATTTTATCTTCTGTATCACTGATTCATTCTTCTGATTCGTTCATCCTCGTTTTTATGGCTTCCACTTGGGACTGCATATCGGTTGTAGCATTTTTAATTTCAGCCTGACTAGATTTTAGTTATTTTATCTCTGCAGTAAGGGATTCTCTAGTGTCTTCTATGCTTTTTCAAGCCCAGCTAGTATCCTTATAATCATTGTTTTAAATTCTAAGTTCAGACATTACTTATATCTGCATTGATTAAATCTCTGGCTGTCATTTCTTCCTGTTCTTTCTTTTGGAGTGAATTCCTCCATCTTGTCATTTTGGAGGAAATAAAAAAGAAAGAAAAAAATAGAAAAAAGAAATAAGAATAAAAAAATAAAAATAAAAAAATTTAAAAAATAATTAAAAATAACATAAGATAAAATAATATACATATAGGAAGCTAGTACCTAGGTGTGTTTTGGTCTGCTTGTTATGAGAAGCTTGTTAGAAGAAAGATAGAAAGAAAGAAGAAAAGGAAAAGAAGAAAAAAATTAAAAACTAACATATATAGAGATATATAACTAATATATGTATAAAAACTATATATATATACATATAATACAATAAAAAGTTTAAAAATGCTCTTTCTGTATTATAACATTCATTTTCAGGCAGTTAGTATTATAGATTCAAATAAGAGTCTGCTGGGCTCATATTTCCTGTAAGCTACTTTCCTGACATTTTCTAGATGCACAATCATGTGGACATTGTCAGGCTTGGTCATCAACACCATTCCCCCTCATAAAATGTAATGGGTGATTTCATTCTTATTCATATTTTGGGACACTTTTGGCTTCATAGGGAGCATATTTTTGAAAGCTGGTAATTTGTTTTGGCTACTGTATTAGGAAAATGTAAATTTTGGTCTGTTAGCCACTTCTGTTAATGCATTTTGTGAATAAAGCTTTTGAGAAGGAATTTCAATGTTGCTAGATTCTCACATTTCATTACTACTCGGTGCCCTTTTCGGTTAGTTTTTCTTACTGTGAAATCACGTTTTATCTGATATCTGATAGGATCACAAACGTTTAAAAATATTCATTATGACAAAAGAGGTCTTGCACTATTCCCTGTATTTCAATCTGTCCTTTTTTTCCCTGTGGGATATTTTAGGAAAGCAAGAGTTTGTACAATTTTTATTTTTAATTCTAATGAGTGCATATTCGTATGACATTCACCCACTAAATATTATTTTAATGCAAACATGGAGGGATCCATTTATTTTTTTTATTTTTTATTTTTTTAAAGATTTATTTATTTGAGAGAGAGAGACACAGTGAGAGAGGAAACCCAAGCAGGGGGAGTGGAAGAGGGAGAAGCAGGCTTCCCACTGAGCAGGGAGCCCGATGCGGGGCTCGATCCCAGAACCCTGAGATCACGACCTGAGCCGAAGGCAGACGCTTAATGACTGAGCCACCCAGGCACCCCTGGAGGGATCCATTTAAAAAAAAAAGTGGACTTTACCTTATTCATTTGAATATTGGCAATGATAGGTCTGTATTATCTTTGATTATTTCATGCATTTATCTTTATTACTACCTTTGCTTTCTTTTTTCACTTACACAATGTTTGCAGTTGACTTCAAACTTTTTATTAAAGTTTTAAACTATATAAGCAGAGAGGGAGAAAAACCATGAGAGACTCTTAATCATAAGAAACAAACTGAGGGTTGCTAGAGGGGAGGGGCGTGGGGGGATGGGGTAGCTGGGGGATAGACATTAAGGAGGGAACCTGATGTGATGAGCATTGGGTGTTATACACAACTGATGAATTATTGAACACTACATCTGAAACCAATGATATACTATATGTTGGCTAATTGAATTTAAATTAAAAAAATAAATTTTAAACTATACCAGGAGGTAAGACTGTGGCTTTTCACCTGCATCTTGAGACTCGGTCTCATTCTGACAGGCAGAAACAGGTAGCATTCCTGGCAGAGGGAAGTAGGTGATAAGGCTAGATGGGGTGTGGCTGCATGGGGTGTGTTCAGGAAGCCACACGTAATTCCTTTGGTTAGTGGGGAGCCTGTGGGGAGGTTGGGGGGAGCACTGGGAATGGAGAGTGAGGTCAGGTCCCTGAGAGCCATGGACACGGGGTTAAGGAGTTTGGGCTTATCTTTGGTAATGAGAAGTCATTTTGAAGAGAGGAATAACATGGGTCAAAGATGAAATATGACTGAGGTGTCCAGCAGGAGGACAGCAGATGGTGAGTCCAATGACAGAGCAGGGGACTGCACAGAGGAGTGGCGAATGGGATGATGCTTGACGTTCCATATTGACTTTGAGCTGCTGGTAGGACAGTAGGAGAGACTTAACTCTCAGCTGGAAACATGGGATCGACTGTTAGGGGAAAATATCTGTGTTGGGAATTAGGATGAAATCTGAAGCCTCCAGAATGGAAAATTAAGGGTATAGTGTGGAGATGGAGAAGGGTTCAAGAAGCAACCCGAGGAAGGCTCCCTTCCCCGGGAAAAGTGCAGAAGCAGAGGGGCAGCAGTGGGAGGGACCAGGACAAGGAAGGATAGGTGAGGGTGGGGGAAATGGGGAGGGACATGGGGACAGTCACCTCAAAGAAGAGAGGCCCTCCGGATGGATTTCATTCCCAGAGATCTCTGGGGACCTTGGAGGGAGAGGTTTCCAAAGGGAAGCAAGCGCCTGGCTGAGCAGCGCACGGGCCCTGAGGAAGTGGGGCCCAGAGGTGGGCAGAGAAAGAACAGGCTGGGGGAACGTGAGGTGAGGGCTGTTTGTTTGCTTGCTGGAGCTTTTGCGTTCACCTGGACATCTCCCCTCCACCTCTGCCACCCACGGTGCCCATTTACCTCCACCCAACTCCTTCTGCCAAATGCTGCAAGTGACACCTGGTGACGTCCCCGTCCACTCTGCCTACTTGGCTTTCTGATTGCTTGGATGTCGCTGCTGACCTCTGGCCTTTGACCTCGATTCATCCACAGACTCTGAAGGCCAGGAAGAGCTTCCGAAGTCACCTCCTCCAACTCTAGGCTCTGCCTATACATCTCTCCTTTGCCAAAGCAATACATTTTGAGAGTTTACAAGAGGAAATGAGGCAAAAAATGATAAAAATAAAAAAAATGCTCCTAATAAATAGCCAGCAGCAACAACATCTCCTAAAAATATTTTTCTGACCTGCTGCGGGAAAGATTTAGTGAATGAAACCTACTCTTCAGTTAGCAGCACATCCTTATCTTCAGCCCACAAACGCCCTTCTTGTCTTACTTATTTTTCCACTTAATTACTGTTCCTCCCCCTCCCAGGGCAACCTTTGAAGTCTTTGTTGGATTTTTATTTGTAGACGGCTTGGTAAAACACATTGCTGCATCGTGTGCTATGTGCTGGATTAACACAATACTATTGTAGGCTCGTTCTGCTTCTTGTTTTTCCTCACTGCCACGTTGCCCTTGCACATTCCCAGGAGCGGACTGGACATGACCCCATCTCTCTGGTGGCACAGGGATGCTGTCGTGAGCCCTCCTCTTAGCACTGACGTGAGGGAGCCCCTGGGACACTTACCCAGAGACAGTACCACTGGATCATAGAGGTGGCTGAGTCCACGCACCTGTCACCAGCCTGCCTGCCAGTCCTCACATCACAGTCATCTCCTCTCGCCCAGGGGTTATCCAGGTGTCTGATTTGTATTAGTCTGACAGACATCCAGTAATGTTTTGTCGTTCTGTTTGTTTCCATTTCTCTGGTCACTGGTGAGCTTGGGCTTCAATTCACACACACAGCCCTTTGCATGCCCTCTTCTGGGAATTAACTATTCATGTTCTTTGCGAACCTTTCTCTTGGGTTCCTGTCTTCCTACTGATGTGCAGGCTTTCCTTTCCGTATTCCTCATCTGAGTCTCTTGTTGGTTTTGGACACTGTGCTGTGATCTCTCAACCTGGCCTTTCCCTGTGAATTTTGTCCTTGGTGTTGTCACTGAACCACAATAGTGACTGTTGATGGGGGTTCATCTCCAGACAGCTTCCCCTCCCCACAGATCACGATTTACTCTTCGACATTATTTTCTGCTAACTTTATAGTTTTACCTTCACGCTTGGGTCTTTACTCCATCTAGAGTCTGTGTCACATATGGGTCCAGGGAGGGACCCATCTTAGTTTTTCTCTATTGGGAGCCAGTTTTCACGGCGTGGTCTTCTCCAGACTCGGCCCCTTCTCTCGCTGGTGACGTTCTACTGTCTCTTTGTGACCTCCTTGGTAAACATGGGTCTGTCCCTGAGCCCTGGCTTCTCCCGCCTTCTGTGTGATCTTGTCCCCGGGACTGCACTGTTGTATCTCCACGGCTTTGTCAGTCCTGCCATCCCGCAGGGCACACAGACCTGTAGCTGGTCCGACAGGGGCTGCCCTTTGCTGACACCCCCACCTTCCCTTCCACTTTCATCATGAAATCCTATGTCAACAGTAGCACCAGCTTAGTTTAGTTTCCCTTATTGTTTTTTTTTTTTTAAAGATTTTATTTATTTATTTGAGAGAGAGAATGAGAGAGAACACATGAGAGGGGATAGGGTCAGAGGGCAAAGCAGACTCCCCGCCGAGCAGGGAGCCCGATGCGGGACTTGATCCAGGGACTCCAGGATCATGACCTGAGCTGAAGGCAGTCGCTTAACCAACTGAGCCACCCAGGCGCCCCTAGTTTCCCTTATTGTTTATCAAAACCTTGAAAGCAGATTTTTTTAGGAGCTGAAATCGTTCAATATGTCTGTAGCTTCAGGGACATAGGGACCCATCGAGACACTGATTTGGGATTGGGAGAGAGGCCTTGCCTCCTCGGGCTGTGGGTTTGCGGGCCCCGAGGCTCTTGTCCACGTAGCCAGGACGGGGCAGGAGGCGCCAGAAGCCTTCCGTCTCTGCGGAGTCAGTCCTGCTAGACTGGCTTCACGGGGCGCACAGTCGCAGGGATCCCCATACAGCTTCTAGGTGTTGGCAGAAAACACCCTGGAGTCAACGGAAAAAGTCCTGCTACTGTGTTATTTTTGTGTAGTTAAGGCTTTAAACAATTACCCATTGCTTTCCCCGACATCCTCTATTCAGTGAGCTCGGGTGCCCCTTACCGCAAGCACAGCGCTTCCAGCACGCTCTGGTTTTCGGCAGAACTTTCCTGTATGTACCTCATCCTGGGATCACGAGCTCCCGGGGCGTGCCATCGAGCACCCCCCGCACCCCCAGGCTGACAGACAGGTGTGTACATCTCTAGGAACGGCTCAGCCGCAGGAACAGGAGACTCCGAAGAGACCTGAGGGCGCTCTGCCTGCTCAGAGCGCAGGAGGAGGAGAAGCTGTGGGCAGTGCAGGTGGGATTCACGGGGTCCCGGGAGGGGCGCCTCCGAGGGTCCTGGTGGCCAGACGCCCTGTTCTGGCCACCGCGTCTGAGCAGCCTGATGGGTGTGTCGGGAGGGGGGCCTGGGGGCCAGAAGCCTGCGGGCTGGGTGACTCAGGTCACGTCTAGCCCTGTGATCTTCGTGTGGTTTAAACGTGCATTGAGGCCAGTCCCATCCGCCCGGCTCGCAGCGACCATCAAAGCCGACGAGCAGCTCACCACTGGAAATCGCACAAACCGTAGGCCTTTGTCTCTGATGGGTGAGGCCTCCGGAAGGCTGTCTGCCCCTCTTGTTCCCGTAAATGTGGGGTCTCTCCCCCGTCTGGGACGGGCAGGCAGCTCCGGGCTGGCTGTGCTGTGGCCTCTGTGGACGGTCCGAGTGTGGGGTGGGGGAGAACGTTCTCGCGGGAATATCCAGAGGCTGAAGGGCCGGGAGGGGCGCACCGACGCCGAGTCTCTGGGAATCCGCTTTCCGTAGGCCCAGGTAGGCTGCGGGACCCACAGGCTGGGGGCTGAGCTGGAGAGCCAGTCGCAGAGCAGGAGGGAGCAGGATGCCCCCCTGGAGCAGTGGCCAGACCCGCTGGAGGACACGCCGGCCCCGGGTGCCAGAATCCCCGACGAGTCGCGGGCCATAGCGCAGCTCCGCAGCCTGGTCGCAGCTCTGGACAAGACTGCCAAGGGACTGGGTGTGGACACGCTGAAGGTGCAGACCGCGAGCCCTCCCCCCGAAGGCTGCGCTCCTCCTCAGTAGCCGGCGGCACCTGCTGGCTGGTGTGACAGGGACAGGCTTCCCTGCGCCGCGTGGGGCAGAGTGGGGTGCCGGGGAGGGGCGCCCCCTCTGGGTCTGCGTGGCTTCCGGTGACGGGTTGGGGGGCTGCAGGTGGCAGGAACCTGGGAACCCACTGTGACTGTCACTCTCTTGCCCTGTGTCCTAGGAGGCCAGCGACTTACTGGACAGGTAGGAGCCGTCCCGTCTCCCTCACAGCTACACCACAAACACACACCTGCACTCGGCCTTACCATGGTCTGGGGGATCCCCAGCCCGTCGCTCGTGTCCCGTCATGCAGCCCGGCCAGGGGACAATTCCACAGGGCATACTGAAGGATTTCTTTGTTCCTAGGAGCGCGCCACAGAAATTAGAGGCTATGTACCCCCAGCTGGAGAAAAGAACCCAGCTGTCCCCTCTGCCATCCTCAGCGGCTCCGACCTGCCCATTCCTGGGCCACCTTGCCTCAGACTCACCTTCACCTCCTGGCTCTCCCTCTCCCAGCCCATCCAGCCCCCCACGAGGTCGGCCCAGGATGTCCTCACCACCCGAACATGAGCCCCTGAGCTCATCCCCGCAGCTGGGACCCGATGCCTGAGCGTCTGACCCGGGCACGGGGGTCACGGCCTCCTTCCCGAGCCATGCTCCCACTCACGGCTGCCCCCGCACGTGCCAGGGCCCAGGGCCTCCGCCTGGCCTGAGAGCAGATGGTGGTACCCTCACAATGTCGTACTAGGACAGGAGCACCCAGACGCCTGGGGGGCCCGCACGCCTGCACCCGACCCCTGCTCTCGCTCTGTATTTCTGTGGCCCCCCTTCCCGTGAGCAGGACTGAGACTGGAATGGGATACAGAAAAGGGCAGGGAGTGTCCCTCCGTGGTCACGGCTGGTAGGACTCCTCGGACACTGAACCTGCTGGGCTGATGAAGGGCGAGGGCTGGCACGGGGACCAGCAGGCGGCCCCTCCGACCAGCAACACGGGCAGCAGGGCCCTCAGTCCTGCCTCTGCAAGAACGTGAGCCCTGCCAACCGTCTGAGCGAGCCTCCGGGAGGCCCCGGCCCGCTGCGCCCTGCTTGCAGCCTCGGGAGACCCCAGGCAGAGGACCTGCCAGGCCAGGGCCCCTGCCCTGGGCCCACGTCTCCTCCACCTGCTGACACTGACAGGGGCCTCGGGCACGGGCATGGAGCCAAACCCCCGAATCCAGACGTGCCGTGTGCGTGCTTGCTCCTCGCTCCCTGCTGATTTGGGACGGCTGGTCAGCCTGGACAGGTCTTGTTCTCTCACATACACGGTGGGGTCGCTAGAGCCCACACCCTCCTCACCGGCTACTGGGAGGATTAGATGAGTAAATATACGGAACGTGTCAGAGGAGAGTTCCATAGCTGTGTTTCCTAGCTCTTCCTCTGAGGCCTGGTTCTGCCCCCTCCCCACCCCGGCCATAGCTTCCCACGACGCCTGGCTAATGGTGGAAAACCCCATTTCCTTCTTTACACGTCTGTTCTTACAACAAGCTTTTCTTTTTTGGAACTACTCGAGGGAGTCTCCGTTCTTGGTACTAGAAAGCGCCACCGAGGCATAGGGTGTGAAAACCTCAGGTGAGCCCACGGCGGTCAGGATGGGGCTGCAGCCCTCCCGTGGGGTCCTGGGGAGGGTGGCGGGGAGGAGGGGCTCAGACCCGAGCACTCCCGGGGAAGGCAGGGGCCTCGAGGGCAGATCTGGGACAAGCAGAGCAGCCGGGCCAGGTCACCGTGTGGAGGGATCCACCCTCCTCCTCCGCACAGACGCCCCCACTCCAGGTCAGGTCAGTAGAACTGAGGGTCGGACGCGCAGTCTGAGCGTCTTCACTCACTAGCAGTTGTATTTCTCAGCGAGGGAAACACACGTTGTCTTTCTGGATGCAGGCCCCTCGTGGGGGTGTGGCCACCGTCAGCGTGTTCACCGGGACCCCGCGCACCTGTTTCTGAACGAGGCGTGCCCCGCAGTGGTTCAGGCCCCTTAGTCAGATGGGCTTCCAATCCTGGCTGCAGGATCTCGGCTGTGCAGACACCCACGCTTCACTGGAAGATACCAGCAGGAAGCACTTCCTGCAGTGACCAAGGTTAGGGGACATAAAGCACACCCGTCCTCCCACAGGTGGGGACCCTGGAGGCCAATCGTCATTTAACAGGCCCCGCTAACACCAATTAAAACACACAGAAAAGCGCAATCCACTTCTTGGTGGAACCCCAGGTTTGGGGCTTTGGATGTATTATCATCATACAGAGGCTCGCATGTGCCTATTGTTCGGAATATACAACATTTTCTGTGACTATGTTTTATAGACAATGAGAACATGCTCAGAGGAAGTGGTCAGCCCCTGTGCAGCCCCTGCCCTGGGCCCACGTCTCCTCCACCTGCTGACCCAAGGAGGAGAGGCAGACCCCCGCGCCCGGGGCCTCAGCCTGCACAGGCCTCCTGGGCCCCGGTGGGGAGGTGACCGAACATTTCAGTTTGTGTCCAAGCAGAGCAAACACAGATCCTATTAAAGAGGCTGTCAGTGAGCGGTACCTTTAAGCGAGTGAAAGACAACAACTAGGAGAAAAAAGGTGTGAAGACCATACTTCCACTGGGCAGAGGATCTCACATTCCACCCTGGGGCGGCTGACGTCATTCTCCGAATTCCAGGCCTGTCCCTGCAGCCCTAGAGCTTCACCGGTGCTGCTGCAGGCCCCCCAGCACGCCCCGAGGGAACTCGGCAGCCCTGCCCTCTCTGCCCCGCAGTGGGGCTCTCTGAGCCTCATCCCTTCCCACCGTCTCGCTCTCGAGCTCAGACGGTGAGCTCACCGCAGCAGGGACGGGATTCTCCGCAGGGGAGAGCACGGGCCATGGGTTACTGTGTGCGGCCTGGCCTTCCGTCTGGCAGCCAGACGTGCCCCCAGGGGAGGGAGGCCGTGGGTGGTGTCAGGGTCTCATGCCCAGTGTCCAAGGGCTGCAGGGTCAGCCAGCCGGGTCTCTGCCAACCCTCCTCCCCTCACTCGGCTCTCGCGTGTCCTACGGCAGTCCTCCCCAGGAAGCCCTCCCTGCTGCTGGGCCCCTTGCCCTGAGCTCCCCCCACACAGGGCAGCCCTGCCCAGCACCTGCCACCCCCGCTGCGATGTCCTCTTCCTGCCTCTGTCTGGTCCGTGAGTTCCTCCAGATACCAAACAGATTTTCCTTTCATTTTCATACCACCAGTGGTGACCATCCTGCCTGGTTCACAGGTAACACCCAAGAGATGTTTCTCGAAGGTACATGTATATGAACCCTCATTTTTCTGGAAGAAGAAGTAATGGAGAGGTGCCTTGCCCAAGATCACACAATGGTGGGCCACAGGCTGGTCTAGAGCCCGGTCTTCTGGCTCCAAACCTGGGTCTCCTGTGTCCGCTGGGGACCGCTGGGCCGCGTCCCCGGAGCCCCTAGCCCCCGGGTGTCAGGGAAACGGTCACCCACTTTGTCCTTGCAAGTCCTTGGTCTGCCACGCTTCTGCCCCAACCCCCAGGTGAGCCCGCAGGGTCAAGTTCGTGCAGCGCTCTCGTGAGCCCCCTCCCGACAGGAGGGTGACCGGCCCCTCAGGAACTCACGGAGAAGCTAGACCCTCGGCCCCAGAGCCCAAAGAAGGGAAAGACCTTCTGGGTGAAGGAGGCCGTGAAGGTGTAGATGGGCTCCTGGCTGACAGCGTTGACGAAGGTCACCCAGCCCACCTCATAGTCCAGGGACACACGCACCTGCCGCGGCTGCTCCCCCAGCGCCAGCCGCGTGGGGAAGGAGCCCAGCGCCGACACGAAGCCCCAGGCCAGCCTCACGGCCCACACGCCCTCCTCTGGCCGCAGCCGCAGCTCCCCCTTCCGCGCCACGTCCTCGCTCGCCACGCCCACCGTGCAGCTGCCGCCGTGGGCCAGGTCCACCTTCACCAGCCACGTGTGTCTCCCCCCTGTGAAGCCGCCGTGGGCCAGGACACAGGTGGCCCGGTCAAAACGCTGGGGGTTGTCCGGCGAGTTCTGCCACTTGTAGGAGAACTGGGCGCGCCGCTGGTCCTCAGACAAGAGGAGCTTGGGGTGGGAGGTCTGGGGGTCCAGAGAGATGTCAGCTGCGGGGGACAGAGACGTCAGCGGACATCTATCACCTGCAGGAGGACCTGAAAGCCCTGCCTCCACCCGCTGGCGTCCTTCTCCACGTCGCGTGTGTGCGCGCGCGAGTCCGGGCCGAGCGGCTGCGTGGGCGTCACCCGGGACAGTGCTAGAAATCCCCACGCCCCGACTTCACCCCAGACCACCCCGAGCAGAGTCTGGGCTCTGAGCGGGTGACTGGCGCGTGTTACCGCCTGCCCGCAGGACGCCTGGCTCCCGCACGCCCGCCCTCATCAGCTCAGCGCGGTCCTCGCAAAGCAGCTGGGTCCCCGCAAACGGGCGGCCTCGCAGGGCCGCGGTCCTCGCAAAGCAGCTGGGTCCCCGCAAACCGGCGGCCTCGCAGGGCCGGGGTCCTCGCAAAGCAGCTGGGTCCCCGCAAACGGGCGGCCTCGCAGGGCCGCGGTCCTCGCAAAGCAGCTGGGTCCCCGCAAACGGGCGGCCTCGCAGGGCCGCGGTCCTCGCAAAGCAGCTGGGTCCCCGCAAACGGGCGGCCTCGCAGGGCCGCGGTCCTCGCAAAGCAGCTGGGTCCCCGCAAACCGGCGGCCTCGCAGGGCCGCGGTCCTCGCAAAGCAGCTGGGTCCCCGCAAACGGGCGGCCTCGCAGGGCCGCGGTCCTCGCAAAGCAGCTGGGTCCCCGCAAACCGGCGGCCTCGCAGGGCCGCGGTCCTCGCAAAGCAGCTGGGTCCCCGCAAACGGGCGGCCTCGCAGGGCCGCGGTCCTCGCAAAGCAGCTGGGTCCCCGCAAACCGGCGGCCTCGCAGGGCCGCGGTCCTCGCAAAGCAGCTGGGTCCCCGCAAACGGGCGGCCTCGCAGGGCCGCGGTCCTCGCAAAGCAGCTGGGTCCCCGCAAACGGGCGGCCTCGCAGGGCCGCGCCCGCCGCCGCCGACACCCTCCCCGCTCCTGCGTCTGAGATCTCGGAGGGTCGGGGCGCATTCACCGTCTGCTCCCGCAAGCTCTCTGGCCCGTCTGCAGGCTATTCCTGCTGCCTCAGTCATTTTAAGGCCACCAGAGTCAGAGGACCACTTCTTAGCACGAAAAGCTCCCAGACACCCTGCCCAGTGTGGCTTTTAATATCCGTTAAGTTGAGACACTCGTAAATTCCGATGTGGCGACGGGTCAGAGAATCCCTCCCAGCAACGCGACTCCCCGGGTCTCTGGCTGAAGGACGCCCTGGGTGGCATCCTGCCCCGGGTCGCCTTCCCTCCAGCTACCCTAACTGTGAAGCTCCACTGACGGGTGCAGTTTCCCGTGACTCCAGCAATGGGCTCCTAAACCCAGACCAAAGGCCCCTCGCCCAGGAAGCCCTTCCTGAGAGCCCGCGTCCTGTTCTGGTCTGACCTTTCTCCCCGGCCGTGTCGGGTCGATGAGAACACGCGCTCCGAGCCGGGGGACGTGTGTGTGCGCGCGCGTGGGCGGGAACCCCACGCAACGCGGCTCCCCCACTCCCTCCCGTCCCAGGCCGCCTACCTGGCTCATAGTCCAACTCGAAGCAGAGTTTCTCTGTAAAGAGGATGCAAACCAGGATGAGATCCCACTCGTCTCACAAAACCACACAACATTCACTGATGAGGAAACTGAGCCCCAGACGGAAGGGACAAGAGAGGGACCGACCCGGGCACTAGCCTCAGAGTCCCGCATCTGATTCAGGCGTCTAGGGGGTGGGCCCAGAGTGCACACTCCAGAGACATCCACCGCATGAATGGATAAGGGGCTTAATTTACTTCTTACTGTCCTTGGAAACAATTTTGGGAATAGTCGAAGGTCAGGTTTGATCAGAGGACAATGTCCGCCACGGCCAGGCCTGAGTTCGAGTGTGGGCTCGTCCGGGGCGACGCTGCTATGGGCGGGCCACGGGGTGGCATCACTGCGGGCGTCCAAAGGGTGCTGGCGGAGAGCCGTGCGCCTGACTCATTCCCCAGCATCACGCCTTTTCCCACCAGCACCGCCCGTTCCAGGAAAGCCGGCAGAGTCCGCCCAGGGGCCTGGAGCGCCCGCCGGATAGGGGGATGCGAGAGAGTCAGCCGCCCCACAGCGCGGAGAAACGCTCTCCCTGGTTATTTATTAACCGTGTTCATCATCAGAAACTTATCATGCATTACAAGGGCCTCTGTAGATTTTTTAAGTTATTGAGAATGGCAGGTTTTGTTAATCATTACTTTTTATATTGTTCAAGGTCAGCAGATCAGATTTATTTGTGTAATTACTTTTCAAGTCAGTTAATTTTTTTTTTTTTCAGAAATCTTCATCTTTACTATCTCTGTTCAGTCATGTTATTCCGATAGGCAGATTTTATAAAGATGTGCAAGTAAGGACAGCCAAAGAAGGCACCAGAAGGGCACGAGCCAAAGGCCACTCAAGCCTTGGGCAGTGGATCATGAGGGTTGTTCCCAGGCCCGGGCTTCATGGACTCCCGCCCCCAGGGAGCCCTGGGGTTCTCTTACCCAGAAACATCTTCATCTCCCTCTGCAGAGGGATGGCCTGCTGGGGGAAGTCCCGAATCCTCTGGCCCAGCTCAGGGGACACAGCCTCTGGTTTCCGGCACTTTCTGGTTTCACATCTAGGGGCACAGAAATAGTGGGCTTTGGAATTCTCCAGACCCAGCTGGCTGCCTGCGAATTGGGCACAGAGACGGACACAGGCAGACACACTTCCTCGGGGACGCACCCCACTGCCCAGGCTTGGGCAACTGCCCGTGCAAATGCATGCGCGTGCATGAAGGTTGCCCTGCTGGCGTGCAATAGCCAGATGCACCAAGCACTGTGTGTACATACCCTCAGAGAATGAGGGAATGGCAGCTTACCTTATCAGAGTGCTTCTGATGTCCTAGGAGAGAGAGGGGAGAGCTCAGCAAAGACAAATACCACGTTCCCACATAGGAAAAAGGGCCCAAGATCCCGCAGGCACAGAGTTTTGGGGTTGATGAGGTGTCTGGGGTCACACAGGTCACCCCTTTATCTCATGCATCCACACAGTGGAGGGACCTGCCTGTAGCTGGAGGCCAAGGCCCCTGCTCTCAGTCCCATAAACCAGGAGTGTGGCCCCCAATCATGCTGCCCTTCTGATGCCTCGTTGGGACCCCAATATCTTCCCTCAGGTGCCACAGACCAGGAACAACTTCCTGAGGGTGGCGACAGAGCACATTCTGCCTCGGAAACAGAATGTGACATCTGTTTGCATAGCACATGATGCTCTCCAGACTGCTAGTTTCCACTGCATTTTCCCATTGGATCCTCACAGAACCCCTGACAGGTAGGTAAGGGAAGGAGCCCCCTGATTCGATGGATGTGGGCCGGACAGTGAGAGGTCGGGGAGCAGAGTGACCAGGGGACTGTCCAGGGAGCAGGGACAGGAGTTCAGGACCTGTCTTGCACATGGGATGCAGGGACATGGGATGAAGGGCTTGGACAAGTGAGATGCTGGGAGTCAGAGGCCAGCCTGCGGGGGGGCAGGTCTCACCGTCAGGAGCTCCCGGGCCGGCCTCCCGTTCTTCTCCTCCAGTTCGGAGATCAGGTTGCTGAACCGGCAGAGCTCCTCACTGACCAGGACATCAAAGTCATCCTGTTGCTTCAGGATGTCCCCGTCCAGCTTCTCTAGCTGGGCCAAGAGGATGCTCTGCTGTTCCTCCAGGAACTGGCACAGATGCGCAAACTCGAAGATCACTTTCTGTCTCTTGGTGGCCACCTGACACTGAAGGGGCGGTGGGGGGAGGCCGGGGGTGATCCCTCTGTTTCCTTACTTGTCCACCCCCGGCTCCCTCTGGCCCACACCCACGTCCTCCACGTTCGGTGGAAAATCGGAGCCCCCGCCCCAGGTCCCTGCACTGTCCGCACAGCACGAGGCTGCCTCGTGGGCCCAGTCGCTTTCGGTCCTTACAGCATTTCAGCAAGTCCAGGAGGGCCTGCTGACTTCTCCTCCCCACCTTGCACAAAAACAGAGATGTGCTAGTTGGGGTGGGAGTCAGTGCTGGGACTTGAGCGACTTCCCACGGGCTACGCTGGCTACCCTGCCTTGGCTTCAGGGGGCGCTGGATCCCGGGGCAGGCCGGTGCCAGGAGGGCACGGAGACCTACCAGGAGGACTTGTATCCTCTCGTTTTCTCTTGACTGGATCCTTTGAATCTCCTCTCTCTCCTTTCTTAGACACTCAAGACACTTCTGTATTTGCTCCTGGGGAGACAGAGCACGAAGTTATGTTACATGGAAGCAATGACTCGTGAAGAGGGGTCAGCCCGCTGCCTCCAGGAGGGACACGCCCGAGGGAGGGAGCCCTCCCCTCACCGCCAGCACCCGCGCCCGGACTGTCCTCGGCAGATGGCCCTCTCCGGGCCTTTTCCTTCTAGCTTTGCTCTCCAGGAACTCTGACCAGAGCTGTCCCCTCTCCCTGTGCCGGCACAGTCCGCAACTCGGTTTCCCCATCTGAGCCTGGCTGCCTTCAGCTTAAAAACCCTAGTTTGTTTTGTCTTTGGTAAGTTAGATCTGGGATCTGTCCCCAGCTGATATGCCCTTCTTTGAAAGTGTTCCAACTTGCTCGCATATCTCAAAGGGAACGCATACACACAACCCTTTCTTGTGAACAGAATCCATTTTCTGTGTATGATTCCAGACGGGAGAAGAAACCTAGATAATATAAAAAGAGTCGACACTCTGTTTTAAAAACTGCTTGCTCTAGAATAGAGTTAGGAACAGGTATTCACACACAAATGTCCACATAGGGACATTCAGAAATATAATTAACGCTCTCACCGTCAAACACTAGGGAACTAATCGGCACAGACAGATGCTCACTCTTACTAAAGCACAAGGTGTAAGTAACTAAAAAGAGCACGCAGTTAATGGTGGATAAGACTGCACGCCACATGTTTACCGACCCTGCATATAAACACTGGTTTCTTTACAAACATGAGCACGCACACAGACCTCCCCCCAAACACCACATGCACGGCAACATGCACACGTTGGTGCACATCACACACTATTTGCACAATTGCTCCCCCAAATGCAGACATCCTCGGAAGCGCCTGCCTGACCCACTGTGGTCACTCAGCCATCCTGCGTGTCCTTGTTGAGCCCCTGGTCTGTGCTGGCCATAAGTAAACAACACAGAACATGCTTCGGCACGCGCGTCTGGGCTCCTGCCTGAGGGGTGACAGGAAGAGGGAGGCCCCTGCGTCCCCGCTCCTACCCGGTAGGGCCCTGCTGCGTCCTCCAGGAAGCGCACGGTGTGTGCCCGGTGCTCCCAGGCCTCCCGACACACCACACAGAGCTGTGCCTCATCGTCCTCGCAGAAGAAGTAGATCTTTTCCCCGTGCTCCTGGCAGACGTCCTCCTCGTCTGAGCCCGGCGTGGACACCAGCTGGAGGCGCTCGATGTTCTCCACCACGCTGGCCAGCTGCCAGTTGGGCCGGAAGTTCCCAGGGCGGAAAGGCTCCTTGCAGAGGGGGCAGGTGAGGGCCTCCTCGGGGTCCGGGCCTGGGATTTCGCAGTAGCGGGTGAGGCAGCCACGGCAGAAGTTGTGGCCACAGTCGATGGTGACCGGCTCCCTCAGGGTGCCCTGGCAGATGGGGCAGTTGACCTCGTCCGCCAGGCTGGTCACAGAGGCGGCTGAGGCCATGGCGTGGCTGGGCCCGTGGGCTCCTCAAGGTCACCGTCTGTGCGTGGCTGAGCAGGAAGGATCTGGGAGAACAGCAGACACACATTCATCCTCGCACGGCCAGACGCGGCACGGCTTAAATACACACCAATGCCCTCGTGGTCATGGACGAGCGCACACACGTGCACACGCACACACAGACACGCTTGCCCAAGGGCAGGGCACCCACCTGCATGCCCTGGTCCTCCCGTCCTCCTCCCAAAGGAGTGGACACACGCGCTCCAGGAGAGGGAGGGAGGGGGGGCCGCGGCATTCCAGACACGGCCTCAGTTACTGTCCGGGCTGCTGCCCACAGCCTGGGGCCCCGCGTTGCTCCCGTCCATCCTCACACGCCCACGGTAGACGTGAAGTGGTATCTTGGCCGTCCACAGTCGGCAGAGATAGTCCTTGCTTTGGGGTGGGAGGTGGGAGGGGGACCCGGTCGGGGAGCAGAGACGCCACGCCAGCCCCCTGCAGTAGGACCAGCTGTCCCCCGGGAGATACGGGTATCAGCCGGCGCAGGGAGCGCGAGCGCGCAGATAAGGCGGCCCTGCTGGCGGAGCACGTCACCGGCCGGGCACCGGCTTCCACGGAGGTTGGAACGAGCCCTGTGTGGGAGCAGGAGGGAAACCCGCAGCAGCGGGCACCTGTTAATGACCCACACCCCGGGCCGCGTCCGTCCGCGGCGCGCCCCGAGCCCCCCGCCGCTCTGGGGCGGAGCCTCCGGGCTGAGAGGGCGCTGCTCGGGCAGCCGGCCGCGTGTGCGTGGGAAGGTGAGGGCGCCGTGTGCACTCAGAGCTGAGTGTCCCAGAGCCCTGCCCTCACACAAACACCACGCGGGCCACCTGTGCACCTAGTTTCCACGTACCATATTTGAAAAAGTGGGGTTAATTTTAATATTTATTTATTTTATGTAGCCCCAAATATGATCGTTTCCAGCGTAACCAGTCTAAGAATTAGTAATGAGGTATTTTGCGTTCCTTCTAACTGATGTATAGTTTGGACGGCCGCGCAATCTCCGCTGGGACCGGCTGCATTCCCGTGCTCCGCGGCGCCGTGGGGCTGGGGGCTCCCGTGCAGGGTGGGGGAGGGGCTGCACCCCCGGGAGGGCCAGGGCGGGCGTGAAGGAAACGGGGTACACACACCAGCTCAGGTTCAGAGCGAGGGAAACAGCGCAGGGGGGATCGCTAGCGTCAGAGTGGGAGTTTCCTTGGGTTTTACGCAGAGATGCAGGGAGCGGATGAAGAACCGAGGCGTGGACCATCTTGTGGGGGGAAGGCCACGGGGGGAGCACCGCCGAAGCCAGGAGACTCGGACTGACCCCGCCTCGCAGCTCTCCAGCTCCGTGACCTAGGGGAAGTCACTTCACGCGTCTTTCTGTAAAATGAAGGTAATCATGCCTGTCCCAAAGGGCTGTTAGCTGATTGGGTGCAGTAATAGGAAAATACTGAGCCTACATAAATGTGCTTATTAAGTCCGTTATCTCTTGGGCTGAGTTTTCTAAATTTTAGGGACATAAATCATTTGTATTACAGTTTCTTGCCTTCTCCCACCTGAAGTTAAAAACTAAAATCGAAGGACACTGTGACCCAGCGTCACCGTGTTTGGGGGCACTGGGTCCAGGCCTGGCGACAGTAGAGTTTAGGAGGCCAGCCTGGGTGGATGAGGTGACGAGCTGAGGAAGCAGAGGAGGGGCCCCAACCGTGCCTCCCAGGGCAGCCTGGACTTTGACGCTGAGAGCACATCCCAGAGCCAGAAGCTGACGGCTCCCACCTGTTCCGATGGCAGGAAGCTGTGTCTCCTCCTTGTGTCTCCACCCCACAGCGGCCAAGGGTGGGGTTCCAGGAAACCCATCTCCCTGTGAGCTCATGCACGCTGGGCTCCCCATCCCAGGGACAGAAGGAGACAGGAGTGGAGAACGGGCTGACCAGGCTCCTGCTGGGAAATGCTGGGTCATTCGAGGTGCCCTGGAGTTTGAACCCACTCAGCTGATGGGTGGTGGCCAGGTGGCGCCCGGTGGCTTCCCAGGCTGAACTCTCCTGCTTTCTTCTCTCAGCCTCCTATCATGTTCCCTCCATGACTCACGCAGAAGTGGCTAATTTCACGGATGGGGGATTTGTGTGGCCTGAGGCAGAGGCTTCCGTGGACAGGCTGGGGATGGCACCAGGATGCCCTCCACGCCTTCCCATGAGGAGACCACCTATCCGGCCTGCAGGGGACCCCCGAAGGATGCAGTGGCCAGCGCCTGTGGACACACCTTCTGCGGGGCTTTGCGTCCTCCCGCCCTCCCAGATGGGGGCCCAGCCCTCCTGCCAGGTGTTGCTTTGTGCACTCTGCAAGGAGAAGGAGCCCACGGAGCCTCTCGTGGCCCCTGTGCCCCTGGGCCCTCTGGGGGAGACAACTATGAGCAGCATGCTGAGAAGATTTACTTCTTCTGCAAGGTCGATGCTGAGTTCCTCTGTATGGTCTGTTGGGAGGGTCCCTCCCACCGCACCCACCCCGTGGGCGTCCTCGACGGGGTGGTTCAGCCCTACTGGGTAAGATGGATGGCTTTTCCTTGGGACTGTGTGGGCTGGGACAGTGTCCCGTCATCCACAGTGAAGAGAACCGATAGGGATCTGGATGAAGGACCATGGTTCCCCGGGGACGTAAGGCCGTTCCCAGGCTTAGGGGGACTCCTGCCTCAGGGGCCCCACAGGGACCCAGCTGTGGGGTGGAGACACAAGGAGGAGACACACCTGCAGGATGAGTGCTGTGCAGGGAGGGTCTTCTCCCACAGTGGGCAGGGTGAACTTGATCTCCCAGGACCCACACTGGGTGTGGGATCTACCGAGGCCCAGACTGCGGGGCTCAGAGGGACGCGAGGGGCCAGGAAGGGCAGCCTGCAGGTGCCACTCTTCCTTGTGAGAAGGGGAGGCCCGACGTGGCCCACCTGTGTCGCCCCCTGCCCCCCACCCCGGGCTGCCCTCAGATCGCTCTGCTCATCCAGTGTCCGGGTCTAGAAGTGACTTTCTCAGAAGCACCTCTTGAATCTTGAACTTGGCCTTGTCCCCACAACCACCTCCAAATGCAAGCTCTCGCCGTCCTCAGCCAGACCTTGCATAGCCTCGAACGCACTCCCTATGTCCATTCTCACCCTCTCAAGCACCCTCCAGTCCACCAAAACACGCAGCAGACCATGGTGCGCCCCTGTGGCAATCCCTCCCAGGGTCCCCAGCGCCGGGAAAGCCCGACCTCATCAGCAGGGCACCAATGCCATCTGTAGTGAGGACACGGATCCCGCCTGTCCACCTCAGCCCCAGCCCAGCCGCCCCCCAGGCACCGCGTGTCCGGCGGACTGGCCCTTGTGCACCTGCCGTCTCCTGGACGTCTCTGCTCTTTCCTGCTTCTGACTCTTCCTCCCAGACTGCTGTCCTCTCCCTGAACTCTTTCTTTTTAAACCATTTTAGCAATTTCTAAGTGTACAGTCGGGGCATGCGGTCCTCACCACCCCCTCTCTAGACCCACTGTAAATGCCTTCTGTCTTCGAAACCTCCCCTTGTTCCGCTGCGTTCCCACCCAGCTGCTCACACACTGACCCCGCCTTCGTCTGTCTGTACTTCAGCCCCGAGTGACCGGGCTGGTGGCGACCTCAAGGTAATCTCTGCCGGAATACGGACGGGAGCTATTCACCTTTGACTCTCTCACCATCAGCCATGCACCTGGGACTCAGCGGACAAGACCTGTGGACTCAGCCACCTCTTCCTGCCCATTCTGCTCCCCATAGGACCATCTCCGGAACCGGTCGGAAGCCCTGAGCTTGGAGAAGAAAGAGATGGAGGACACACAGAGGCGGGAAGACGGGAAGCCCCAAGCGCTTCTGGTAAAGTGCTTCTGCCACCTGCCCTTTTGGGGGTTTTCTGAGCAGACTCCGGGGAAGCTTGCTGTCTGGTACTTTTGTACTGTTCTCATTCACTTCCTTGCCTCTGTACGAGGGCATTTGAGGTCAAGGCTATGGAATCCCAGAGCTTCACAGCTGGAGATGGTTCCGACATCTAGCCCAAGACCCATCTTACCAGCCATTCTACAGAGCCGAGAACTGGTCCGGGAGCGTGACGGTCCACAGAGAGCAAAGCCCATGTTCATGAGGACATGGCTTCAACCTGGGTCTTTCTCTCTCTTAACATTTATTTATTTGAGAGAGAGAGAGAGTAGGGAAGGGCAGAGGGAGAGAGACAAGCAGACTCCCCGCTGAGCTCAGAGCCCAACACGGGGCTGGATCTCACGATCCTGAGATCACGACCCGAGCTGAAATCAAGCCAGATGCTTCAGCGACTGAACCACCAGGCGTCCCTAGAAGCCGGGTGTCTTGACCCGGAGCCACCTTCCCATCCCAGTCTATGTGCCCAAAAGCACTGCCCTCAGACGGGAAGGGTGGGGCAGAAGCTGGTACCCGGGTCTGCTTCCAGTCCTGACCGAGGCTGGCCTGCGCACCGTGGGGGAGTGGGGTACTGGTGAGCTCCTCAGTCATCCCGGAGGAAAGCCGCAGTCTGAGAACTTCTGGAGCCCTGAGCAAGGCGGCAGAGCTGGAGGCAGGAAGAGACCCGCAGCACTCCTCTGCTCCCTCCCAAGCGTGCCGTGCAGAAGGCGACGTCAGGGCCGGAGAGCGATGCCGGACCCTCCGTGCTGACTCGAACCACGGCCTGTTTCCTTCAGTGGCTCTCTGACGGACGACTACCACCTGCTCCTCGTGACTCTAGGGAAGGCATGGTGGGGTTAGGACGGTGTTGTAGATGGGCAAGGATGCTTGAAAAATTCAACACGGCTCTGAGGGCGTATGGGGCATTATTAGAATCCCCAGGTAAGACAAGAGCATAGCCCTCCTTGCTGCCAAGTCTATTCTGAGACCCATCTGCTTCTAACATAGTATTGGGAGAGCTAGTGACTCCCTGTGTCTCTGAATCAGGAAGATCCAGGTGATCCTCCTGCAGACCGGCCTCTTGACCTTCTTCCCGGCCCTGTCTATCTTTCCACCCCTCACAGACTCACATTGAAAGCAAGAGGCAGCAGGTGGACACGGTGTTGGAGAGATTGCAGCTGGAGCTGATGGACCAGCAGCGTCTGCTGCAGGCCAGGCTGAGGGACCTGGAGAGGAAGAGCTGCATGGAGAGAGACGAATACATCTTCAGGTCATCTGAGGAGGTCGCCAGGCTTGGGGCCCAGGCCCAGGAGCTGAAGGAGCAGAGTCAGCAGCCAGCAAGGGTCCTGCTGCAGGTGAGGCCGTCCCCACCACCCCGTGGGCTAGGAGAGGGGCCGCACAGGCGGGGACGCCGGCAGAGGCTGGGGCTGCTGGACACAGGCAGGAAGGGCAAGCGAACCTTGTTTCTGCTGGGAGGGACTGCCAGTCCTTGGGTTCCCTTGGCCTGGAGAGCTGACAGATGCGCAGACCCAGGAAGGCTGGATGACTTGCCACCCACCGGGGTCGTGTCGAGGACTTTGGAGTCAGAGGGCCTTAGGTTTGAGGGCAGGCTCTTCCCGCCGTGTGACCATGGCGAGCCTCGTGAGCCCCCTAAACGTGGGGATAATAATGGCACCTCCCTCACAGAGCTCGTGCAAGGATTGTAAGAAACAGTCCATACAAAATGCGTAGCATGGTCCCCGGCGCACACAGATTGCAGTGTGATTGTCATTGTATCATCCCGTTTCACATCAGGTCCGGCGGGTAAGTCAGGCCTGGACCCTGTTCTCCAGCATCCCTCAAGCCCTGGAGGTAGAACACAGTTCCGAGAGAAGGCTAAGACAAAGAAGCCAGCTCAAATGACCTGAGCAGTGTCCCAGTGAGTCGGGAGGCGTGATGTAACGAGCAGATACAGCTCTCTGGAAGAGAGAGCTTTGAGGCCGACGCTAAGGAGGACAGGCTGTGCAGTTGCGGTGGGAAGGACTTGTGGACCCTGAGAGATGTTCTTTTCCTTTGTAGGGTGTCCGAGCCAGCCAGAGCAGATAGGTCTCCTTTCTGCCTGGAGCGTACACTTTGTTCTTCTCACCTCTGTTCCCCTGGACACGGAGACCGAGGGGGGTCACTCTCTACCCTGCCCCCCACAGAAATGCAAATTCACTTTGACACACACACACACAAACAGCCTCCACGTAAAATTCTGTGCTCTAAGAGTCCATTTTTTAAATGTTTTTTTTTAAAGATTTTATTTATTTATTTGACAGAGACAGCGAGAGAGGGAACACAAGCAGGGGGAGTGGGAGAGGGAGAAGCAGGCTGCCCGCGGAGCAGGGAGCCTGATGCGGGACTCCATCCCAGGACCCTGGGACCATGACCTGAGCCGAAGACAGACGCTTGACGACTGAGCCACCCAGGTGCCCCTAAGAGTCCATTTTTAAACTGGTTGTTTGGTACCAGGGATACAGTTCTCCCCTGGAGGTGAAGTTATAAGCCATAATCATGTTTTTAGGCTGATGCAGAAACATCTGTTTAATTCCCGAAGTTATTGGTGCTCGAGTCCATATTGAACAGCATGTAAACTGTAACTCCGAGGGGAGATACCTCCTATAAACTGTGGTAGGCAGAGCAGAGCGGGGGAAGACCAACCCGTCCTTTCGGCCGTGTTCCCCCAGCTCAGCTGCTGCATGTCCTTCCGGGTCACAGACACCACCACAAAGGGAAGCTGCTGGTCCCGTCCTGTCCCCTGCTGGGAGCACCTGTCCCTTCTCTGTGCTTGCCTGGTGAGGAACACTTCTCAGGCAGCCATAAGAACCTGGACCTGGGGCCCGGGACTCAGGAAGTGTCTCCCAAACTTTCCAAGAGTGTTAGAGGTGTGGAGCTAAAGGGCTGTGCGGGTCTTCTGGTCTGATGAGGACCCTGAGCCTGCTCGCGGTCAGACCATGGGGGACGGGCAGGGATGGAGCTGATTCGTGTTTTCTCTCATCTCTTCCCCCCCAACCCCCTTTCCCCTAGTAATGAACAGCACCCAAATTAGAAAGAGGAGTTTAAGGTCGTCTTTTTTTTTTTTTTCAAGTGACACTGTACTGTCCTCTAGAGGCAAACAGGGTAATGACCTCTGCCCCTTGCAGCCTCCGCAGACCCCAAACATTCTCTTAAAGGACCCACCTCTAATTCTTAAGGGACTGATTGTCTGTAGGTATGAGACAAAGACTTTTGTGAGTCCAGAGACCATTTCTCCAGACCTTGTCGAGAAGATCCGAGATCTCCACAGGAAAATACTCCCCCTCCCAGTGATGCTGAGGACCTTCTCAGGTAAGGGGGAGGGGCAGCAGTTTTCCCCATCCCCTGATGGCAGAACAGCAGATTCTTCCACCCATCACCGCTTGCTGGTTATGAGCCATGGGCAAGCCAGCGTACCTCCTGGTTCCGGTTTGTTCACCTTAAAATGGAACACACAGTAGTCCTGACCCCATGAGCAGCCACGAGATAAAGGAATGCATGCATGTCAGGAGCTTAGTGCTGTTAATGTTTGTTCCGCGTATGGATATTATTTCCTCAAAAATACTTACGAAGGTCTTGGTTGGGTGGGTGTGTGTTCTGCCCAGCATCGTGCCAGACTCTGTTGACTTGAACACATATTGTATAATTTTAAAAAATAGCATTTACTTCGAAGATGGTGCTTACTTTAGAAACTATTTCCACAAATATCACCTCATTCTGCGTCTCAAACTTAACTGCAGAAGGAACAGCTGGGGGGTCTTGTTAAAAGGCAGACTGTGGGGCGCCTGGGTGGCTCAGATGGTTAAGCGTCTGCCTTCGGCTCAGGTCATGGTCCCAGGGTCCTGGGATCGAGTCCCCCATCGGGCTCCCTGCTCAGCGGGGAGCCTGCTTCTCCCTCTGCCTCTCTCTCTGTCTCCCATGAATAAATAAATAAAATCTTAAAAAAAAAAAAAAGGGCAGACTGTGGTTCAGTAGGTCTGGGGCGGGGCCCAGGATTCTGCATTTCTCCCGGCCCCCCGGCCAAGCGGATGCCGCCGCTCTCGGAAGCGAACCCCGCCGCAGCGCAGGAGCACTTGCAGGCCGGGGAAGGCCGCCCTTCTCTGCCCGGAAACGGAGCGGAGCCAGGCGTTGGCAGGCCGCGCAGCGCCCCCGCATCGCGCGCGCTCTGGGGCGCGTCGCCCCGGGCCCCCCTCTCCTCCCGCAGGGGCCGTCACGTCCTGTCTCCGAGGACCTGCCGCACAGCCCCTGCGCTCCGAGGGTGTCCCGGCGGCGCGCGCCGCCCCGGCTGCTGCAGCCGGGAGCCCGCGGGGAGGCGCGCCGCGAGGGGGGCCGGCCCGCCGCTCTTGCACCTGCTGCCGGGGCGCGCACCTGCGCGACTCCGCCCGGCCGCGGAGCGGGACCCCGCCTTCGCCGCCTGCGTCCCCGAGACTCCCCGCTTCGCCGTCTGGGAAACGGGCTCCTGCAGGCCTGGGCGGCGGAGGGGCGCGTCCGAGGGGCGCTGCGGCGGAGAGCGGCCGGGCTGGCCGCCGGAGACCCGGGGCAATGATTTGAGGAACGGAACGAAACAGCGCTCCAATACAGACTGCCAGAGCTTCAGAAATCATCACCGTGGGGGAAAGCAGAACTTCGTCGGGCTTGCACTGACTTGGGCAGCTGACTGTTTCCGTTGTGACACGCGCTGGGAGATGCTTCCGGCGCAGCGCCTCTTCCTCCAGCCCCGGTGGACCCGGGCCCCCTGCCTTTCTGACGTTTCGGCCGTGTTTCTTGTAGAGGATGTCTAATAAAGTGTAGGAACCAGCCAGACTTCTGCATGTCATGTGTCTCTCCATGGAATCTCGGGGACCACGACACAATCCTGTCCTGATGGCAGTGGAACCAGACCCCACTGTTCAGGTCTAACTAACCTCTCAGATATTTACTACCATTACCATTATTATTATTTGGATGATGGGGCTTTGTTTCACTTCCTGTGCACTGATCTAGTGTTTTGGACAAGCAAGGCTGTTTTTTTTTTTTTTTTGGCCGAGTATGAAATTGAAAAAACAAATGAGACACTCACACTGTATTTCCAAGTGTGATTAAATTTAGGGTGAGTGGCCCAGGTAACTTAGGGGTGTGGATAGGCTCAGGTGGAGGCTCTGGGCCTAAATTAAATTGCCCTGCATGAGAAAGAAAATGGAATTTAAAATCTTAAGGAGAAGGTTTAGGAGTCGCCAACACTCAAATAGGAGGACTGGGAGCTGCCTGGAGGGAAAGAATCCTTCTGGTGGCCCCACTGGGCGGTCTGAAAATAGACATTGCCCCCCCCCCAACTGCCAGGCTGCTGGCTTCTGTGAGGGGCTGTCATGCACTTGAGGTGCCCCAGAGAACTGGAGGGGTGGTTGTGAGGACCCAGCTGGGGTATGTAGGAGGAATCTGTCCGAAGCCCAAGAACCGTGACTACAGCAGGCTGTGAGCCCCAGCGTCGTCTCCAGTCTACTCGCTTTGCTCTGCACACTGGGCGGTTTTCCTGTCTGTGGGCAGGCTTGCTGGCTTTACTTGTGCCCTCTATTTCCCCACTACTTTCCATTCCTCCCTTTTCCTGGGACTTCAGGGCAGAGAGTTGCCTCTGTCATACTCCACGGTTCAGAGTGCACAATTATCAGCAGCCCAGGCAGGTTTTCTCGTGTTCTTTATACTTTCTCCTGTCTCTCCCATTCTCTTTCCCATTCTCCTCACCCACATGGGCACTACTCTAATGTTTTCACATGTCCTCGGATACAGAGGGATCTCTGAATATATACCTAGTACAGGACTAGCTCTGCTTCTTCCTTTTTTTGACCTAGTACCACGGTTTTAAGATCTAGTCATGTTGCCGTACATGCATCTAGTTTATGGCTTCTAATTGCCGAATACTATTCCATAGAACACGTCAGCCACGCTTCATTGTACTTTCTTTTGGCACAGAACATGTAGGTTACCTCCTTCTGCCTATGACAGTGAGCAAAATTGATGACAAACAGCCTCATACTCTCCCCTTATGAAGGTAAGGTTCACCCCCAGGAGGGGGCAACTGGCATTTGCACACTCACTTTCCTTCAGTACCACCAAATTTCTTCGCAAGATGGCTGTATTCATGTATACTTCCACCAGAGGGGCACAGAGATTCCTGCTTTCCGACCCCCATACCAACAATGGGTGCTATCAGACTTGCTCAGTTCTGCAAATCTGATGACTGTAATGTGTTATCTCATTTTTTAAAGATTTATTTATTTATTTGAGAGAGAGAGAGAGAGAGAGAGCAAGTGAGTGCGACGGGCAGAGGCAGAGGGAGAGGGAGAGAGCATCCCCGCTGAGCACAGAGCCCAACGCTGGTCTCGATCTCACGACCCTGAGATCACAACCTGGGCCGAAATCAAGAGTTGGCTGCTCAACCGACCGAGCCAAACAGGCGCCCCAAGTGATACCTCATTTCTAAAAATTTGTCCTTTTCCACCTGTCAGGTTGTGCATCTCTTCTCGAATTTTCTCCATCTTTCTCCCATCTTTCATGTTCCCATCTTTCTTTCATTGATTTCCAGGAATTTCTTACATACTCTAGCTACCAATCTCTTGCTCATTTTAGACTTGAAAATATCACTTTCTTATTAACTTTGATAGTGGTGTTATTCATTAGATAGAAATCCTGAATTTTGGGGGCACCTGGGTGGCTCAGTCAGTTAAGCGTCTGCCTTCGGCTCAGGTCATGATCCTGGGGTCCTGGGAGCGAGCCCTGCGTCGGGCTCCCTGCTCAGTGGGGAGTCTGCTTCTCCCTCTGCCACTCCTTCTGCTTGTGTTTTCTCTCTGTCAAATAAATAAATAAAATCTAAAAAAAAAAGAAATCCTGAATTTTGATGACAAATTTGGTAAACTTTTCACTTTGTGGTTTATATTTTTAAGATTCTTTTTCATGGGACGCCTGGGTGGCTCAGTCGGTTAAGCGTCTGCCTTCGGCTCAGGTCATGATCCCAGGGTCCTGGGATCGAGTCCCACATCGGGATCCCTGCTCCGCGGGGAGCCTACTTCTCCCTCTGCCCCTGTCTCTCTCTCTGTCTCTCATGAATAAATTAAAAAAAAAAAGATTCTTTTTCACCACCACAAGATTGTGTGTGTGTGTTTAAATATATTGCGACAAGTTCTAGAAATTTACTGTTCACACTAATATCTTTAGTTTATCTGGAATGAAGAAGACAGCCAGCTTTATTTTTCCCCACATAATAAGCCAGTTCTTCTGACCCCATCTACTTAGATAATCCATCTTAGTCCTACTGGCTGGTAGCACGTCTACGACACCCATTTCCCACGAATGCAGACACTGTTCTGAGCTTTCGACTCCGTTGTCCCCGGGAACCGGGACGTGCTGCTTTTTATTGCCATGACCTTGTAGTGCAACGTAATGTCTAATCGGACTGCTCTCCCCGCCTTGGCTTCCTTTTCAAATGTATCTTACTTATCTGTAGACGTTTATGCTTCCATATAAATTTAGAATCAATTTGTCAGGTTCTTTTTTAAAAAATCCTGGTGCTCTTTTAACTGAAATTACATTGGTATTGATCGTAATTTTATTAGATTTGAGGACTGAGGAAATTAGTTTGGAGCAAATGGGCATCATCATCCTATCCATAAACGTGTCATCTCTCTCTGGCGGTTTAGATCTCCTTTTATGCCTTTAATGGAATTTTGAGATTTTCTGCAGATAAGACTTTGGCAACATCTAGTGACATGTCTGTCTGTTGACCTGGTCATTTTCCCTCCAGACAAATGTTCACACAAGCGTACAACAGTTTGGCACGGCATAGTTTACATCATAGAACAGATAACCAACTAGTATATTCATATACAGCACCATACAACAGTTAAAACGATGACTCATAGTGGTTCCTTCTGGTCTGGAGGGCAGGGAGGAAAAGTGAATCATGTTCCTCAAAAGACAATGGTTTGAGAGAGTTGAGCAGTGGCTTACTTAAAACACTCTCCTGTGGATCTGAAATACTTTATAAGAAAAAACAAAACTTGCTCTTCATAAAATGTGTACATTTTGGGGGGCTACAATTGTTTTAAGGATTGCATTGTTATTATAAAACATTCCTTGTAAAAAAATTATAACTCGTATTGATTATTCTGATATGGAGGAACGATATTGATTTTGCTAATCTTGTTTTTAGCAATTTTGTCACATCCTTATTAGTTCTAATAGTTTGTTAATTCACAGGGTTACCTATGTAGAAAATTGTTATTTCATCACCTGAAAATAACAGTTTTGACTCTTTCCTTCTACTCTATATAACTCTCACTGCCATTTTGCATCCTGTTGTGTGGGCCCAGACCTCCAGCATGCTGTTCAACAGTGTGGAGAGAGGGCATCCTTAGTCCATCGCTAAAGGGAAAAGCAGCTCACTAAGGTTTCTCAGTTAAGCATAATGACTATTATGGATTTCTTGGTAGAGAGCCTTCATCAAGTTAGAGAGAGCTTTTCTTTTTTTCAAGATTTTATTTATTTGACAGAGATAAAGAGAGGGAGAGCACAAGCTGGTGGAGTGGCAGGCAGAGGGAGAGGGAAAAGCAGGCTCCCCGCTGAGGAAGGAGCCCAATGTGGGACGCGATCCCAGGACCCTGGGATCATGACCTGAGCCGAAGGCAGATGCTTAACTGACTGAGCCACCCAGGCGCCCCGAGAGAGCTTTTCTATTCCTAGTTTTCTTAGAGTTTTTCAAATAATGCCTAAGTTTTAAGCTTTATCAAATACCCTTTTTCATGTTTCAAGATAATCATTGTGATTTTTCTGTATTTGACCATGGGTGTGGTCATCCCACAGTCAGAGCGTCTGATGTTAGACCATCATTGTTTTTCTGATAACTTTAAAGATTTTATTTATTTGTGTGTGTGAGAGAGAGAGCACGAGCAGGGGGGAGAGGGAGAAGCAGGCTCCCCGCTGAGCAAGGAGCCTGGCACGGGGCTCGATTCCAGGACCCTGGGATCATGACCTGAGCCGAAGGCAGATGCTTAACTGACTGAGCCACCCAGGCACCCCGAGAGAGCTTTTCTATTCCTAGTTTTCTTAGAATTTGTCAAATAATGCCTAAGTTTTAAGCTTTATCAAATACCCTTTTTCATGTTTCAAGATAATCATTGTGATTTTTCTGTATTTGACCATGGGTGTGGTCATCCCACCGTCAGAGCGTCTGATGTTAGACCACCATTGTTTTTCTGATAACTTTTTTTTTAAAGATTTTATTTATTTATTTGAGAGAGAGAGAGCACACGAGAGGGGGGAGGGTCAGAGGGAGAAGCAGACTCCCTGCCGAGCAGGGAGCCCGATGCGGGACTCGATCCAGGGACTCCAGGATCATGACCTGAGCCGAAGGCAGTCGCTTAACCAACTGAGCCACCCAGGCGCCCTGTTTTTCTGATAACTTTAAAGATTTTATTTATTTGTGTGTGTGAGAGAGAGAGAGCACGAGCAGGGGGAGAGGGAGAAGCAGGCTCCCCGCTGAGCAAGGAGCCTGGCACTGGGCTCGATCCCAGGACC